CTTCGAATCCTCCCTTCAAAACCATCTTATCCTCTAATTTCTTTCTCGTCTCACCAAGTGTCTTCTCCATGTTATCGTACTTCTTCTTTGTGCTCAAACAGTGTTGTGTTCTTCCTTGTTTTTGTTGATTTCTGCCCGAGACTTCAAATCTCAACCCTTTGTCCCGGTGGTAGTGTTGTCATCGGTGGGTATACCTTTATATAAAGAAAATGGATCAATGTCTATGTAAATAAAACCAGAATGAATTCAATACAAGAGATATAATGCAGCTCTCAAAAATCCATAAATCAAAGAGGAGACGTAGAATAAAAAATCTTACCTATTGACTTGTGGAATTTTGAGTCGATATTAGAAAGCATTGGAGATTGTTTGAAATTCCATCTTTCCAACTTCCAAAATGAAAATTAATTTGCAGTTCATAATGAACCATAAATTAATATGCACTTCTTTTTCGGTTTTTGTGTTCAATTAAAAAAGAAATTAGTATAATTTAATTATTTAATTCTCTCATAATTATTTTTTAATCTGATGTGTCAAAAAAATGGATGCTGATGTGTCAAACTTGTGAGACTCAACTGAGTCTTTATATAATAGATTATATTTCATTTCCATAACTACAATTTACAAACGACAAACGTAAATTAATTATTGCATAAAAAAATAAAAATCATTATTTTAAGAAATGAAAAAATCCTAAAATTCTTTATTAAGAAAAGATGTTTGGAATTCTTACGAAATTGCGTAAGTTTTACTCACTTAATTACCAATTTAACTAGGTTTATGATCTGCGCGTTACGCGGAATTTAATTTTTTAAACAGCTAATTTATCATATTTGTTTTCTTATTTTCTTGATTTTATTAAACTCCTTCTCCATCTTTATATTATCATAGTTTATTATTTTAATTTTTAATCTCCTTTTTCATCTTCAATATTTTTTCCTCGCATTTTTAAAAATTCATCTTCATCAGCTTTGTATTTTTCTTCCTCTTTCTTTTTCTTTATTCTCTGATCTTTTTCGACTTCTATTTTTTTTGTTTTTTTTCTTTTTTTTTTTAATGTTGTTTTGTCTCTTATTTTTAATTATCTTGTGTATATATTCTTCTTCTTCTATTTCATCTTATATTATATCTTCATTTGCATGCTTTTCTTTATATTTTGATTTTTTATCTTCTATCTTCTATTTTTTTTATTCTTTTTTATCATCTTTGATTTTCATTTTCATCACCATCGTTTTTTTAACTATTTCTTCTTATTATTTTTTTTCCTTTTTTACTAATCTGTTTCTTGATTAAAATAATGAGTATTAACAATGTGTAAATTAATGAAGTCATTAACTTTATCATTAATGTTTTTCTTTTATTTTTGAATAAAAATAATATTATTTAAAAATATATGAATTAATTAAGTATTAATTTTAATTTTTTCATATGCTAATTTGGACACTTTAGATGGAAAGAAAACTTTCTTATTATATAATAGATTCTAACAAAAAAAATCATAATTTTAGCTCTCCAATAAAAAGTCCAACAATTTTTGTTTCTTCTAAAAAATGGTTGGTTTCTACATTTTATTTTGCAGTTCTTTGTGATAACGCTGATGCTTTAGAAAGAAAAAAAAATGATATGTGTTGTGTTCATCAGATATTGATGTTTTTTTTGTTTGATATAGGGCTTTCATGGATATGATTTTCAAGTCATATATATAGTTTAATAAAGTTGAGAAAGATAGAGACAAAATCTACAATACAATCAAAATATTGATGTTACGTGGATATGTTATTTAGTATTTTTTTGCTTTTTTTTTAATAAGGGTTAGTTGTTTAATATCTACTCTAATAAAAGTACCTATTTGAGGCTCCTAGAGATGTCCACATCAGCCAAACAAAACTGTTCTAAAATGATGCCACGTCACCTATAGTCTTTGCAAAAAAAATTATAACTTTGCAAATATCAGTCAGCGTCTTCCAAAAAAAAAAACTCGACAAGCGCCTCCTCAGCTCCTCTTAAAAACGTTATGCTACAAAACTCTATTTAAAACCGGTCGCCTCCCACAAAGCCACGATCTCATATTCATCTCTTGTGGTTTCTCATATCTCTCAATTTTAAATCCCATCAGATAATTTATATTGCCCATATATTTTGTGTTTCCGAAGTCGATCTGACCTATATTGTATTCATCAGGTTGTTTTGTTCATTGTACCAGCATCACTCTAATTTATTGGTTTGTGTTGATATGCAAAAGCATCGAGTCTCATGGGAATGATAAACGTAAAAAAAGTTGGTCGGATGGGCTACTGCGTATCTTATTCTCGATTTTGTGCACCACACCCTGAAAAGGAACCAACGACGGTATGAAGAAATGCAGTGAAGATGGCATGCAGACGAAAGCAGCAACAGTTCGAACTGGGAATAAGTAAGCATCTAAACATTTTTTAAATTTGTTTCATTAAATTATCTTATGTTCCACAAAAAATAAGATCTCTCTTTCAAAGTTCTTTCACTAGCTCAATACTTTTTCATCGTTGTTGGGTGTCATTTTTGTTAAACACTAGAAAGACACCGATATCAAAAGATGAAAGCAGGAGAATAACGTGGCAGAGACCAAAAAATCAAGCAGAAGCGGTGGTCATAGAAGTTTCTGATTTTCATGCACCATAGCATTAGTGTGGCAAAGAGATGAGTTATTCCAATATTTTCCCGAGTAATCCAAAAAGTAAGCACTTGGTGCCAATTGAATATTCAAAAGGATATATTCTTTGAATTAGTGTAAATGTGTGAATACACTAATAGAGCCAATTCAATAATAATGACCCATGTATAGAATAGTTTAATTTAGTGGAGTTAAAGGTAACTCTGATCTAATAGCTGCAGTAAACTAATGTCTCATTTTGTCTATATATATATTGTTTTTTTATTGAATTGTGTACAAATGTCCACATTGAGCTAATGCAAAGATGAATGTTTACAGTTGCGTAAAAGATAATGATACAAAAGGTGTAAACGACCATCTCTACCAAATTCAGGTCCCTCTCAGTCTTTTTCTCTACTTTTTTTCACTTAGCCAGCACGTTTTACTTTTAGTTAAGGTTGATAGCAACAATGGTGTAAGTGATTCACTGATTTTCTTTGTAATACATACAATTACATAAATCAATGCAGTCCATGTTCTAACACCTAAAATTCTACCTTTTTTCGTTTTGTTTGCATTGTATTTAAGTTTGGTTGGAATGATAACGATGAGGAACCACAATCAGTCTCTCCAAAATGCAGCGAGAAAGCCGCTTTTAGAGTTGGTTTAAACACCCATGGAAGTTGTCCGCTGTTCTAATCTTCTGAGTGAAACTCTGCTCATTACTATACTCGCAAGTGTAACAAATGAAACATTGTCTTTTGATCACAACATTGTGAAGAGACTGATTGTGGTAATTTCTCTTAAACAGTTTTGGTAAGACCATACATGAAATCTATTTACAAGTTTACACGTTCATTGTTCTTATCTCTCTTTTTGGTTTGGCTGTGTTAAAAAAAAAAAGTAATGGTAGGGGTATTTGAAGTGTACATTTAAACAACATGGCTGTATTGGGAAAAACATAGATTTGGAATCCTGCAGGGGCTCTGATTTTTCTATTTAAAAACTAACTGCAGTGAACAAAAGCAAAAACAAATTCAAAGGGAGTTCAATCTTGTGCTTGCATAACTAGAGCGAATAGAGGGTGAAACAAGAGCTTGAGTAGCCGACTCGAGTGATCAGATTGCGTAGGAAGTATGGAGGATGATTAGTAGTTTTATGGTGAATCATTTTAAAAGAAAAAAACTTAATGGTGAATCGTTCATTTGATATCCTTTTCCCTTATGAGAGATGGAGGATGGAATGAACTTTTTGTCCACACATCGAAGGATGACAACCTCAAAGATTAAAGATGTTAAAGACTAAAGACGACAAAGAATGGAAATCATTGTGAAAGATTATTATATCATCGACCATATTAACACGAAAACAAATTAGTTATTATTGGCATAAAACTGAAATTAACTATATGGACACCAGGTTAATTCAGAGAGAGTGTTTGAGGCTGTATGGCACATGACATGGGTAGATTACGATTAAAGATGTTGTGGGTATATGAGGAAGAAATGACCGAAAATAAATAAAGAACTTTAAGAAAGGCTTGATATGTTTGCCATACCTCGAAGGTGTTAGTTAGAATGTGAGGAAGGATTCCTTTCTTATGTGTAAAAAAGAAAGAAAAGAAATAAGAAAAAAAACCAACAAAAAGACATGAGTTTGATTGTACAAGAAGTGTTTACAACAACATTGAAGTAACATGTGAATATTATAACAAAACTACTGGATCATTGACACTGTAAATTCTTTAATTATTTATTACATATAACAATTGACAGTGTTAAAATTAGAAAACCACTAAAATGTAAATTGTTTTTGCAAATCATCCTTATTTATTTGGTTTATATTGTTGTATGAAAAAAATAAATATATTAATAATTTACGTTCATTTCTTTTTATAATTAATAGTAAAATATACTCTTTCTGTTTTACTATGATTGCAGTTTTATAAAAAAAAATTGTTTCAAAATATTAGATGTTCTTATATTTCAATGTAGTTTTAAATTTATTTAATAATATATTACCAAGTATATTATTTGATAGTATTTGTTATTGGTTTAATTTTATTTAATTATAACATTAAATGATATTTTTTGAAAAAAAAAATTAAATTTTTTAATTTTTGTATTTTTTGTAAAACATCTAACAAAATGAACCGGAAGGAAAACCATGTTACGACATATTGAAATCTCAGGAATGAGTACTATGTTACTACATATTGAAATAGAATTCCGGAACAAAACCGCGCATAGCGCGGACAGTCCCTAGTCTTATATATAAAAGAGATTGAATTCTCAGTTAATTCTCTTCAGTTAAGTGACACGTCGGCACTGAACAGAGTGATACCCGTCTCTTCTGTTTTAATTAATTAAAAAAAAAACTCTCTTCAAATATCTACATTCTCTTCGTCTTCCTCCCGAGGACTCCCCGATAATGTTTAGATCCACGGCTATGAACTTTTCCTCACCAGTTGTTTCAATGATTTGGACGAAAATCTTCAGAAGAGACTTCGAGCTGCCTATGAAACTTTCTCTGGAGCAATCGAAGATCCTCGCGTTCTACAACCAATCCTTCCCATTTACGCAGGTGATTTTAATTTCCTCTTCCTTCAGATTGAGCATCTTAATTAGTGCTTTCTATGGTACCCGATCTGTTCAAATAGATTCTAATCTGGGTATCATTTCGGTTTTTTTTAAAGGGTTTCTCATCTTCAATTAGTTTAAAGGGTATTATTTTACGACATCAGAGTTGCCGGAACCGTTGATGGTGATGGCCACTGAGAAGGCATTTGATATTTTCGATGACGAGGAGGATGACCCGCTCATTGCTTCTGAGGAATGCCCGACTCGTCAGGACGAATGTCCTATCAAGAATTTTGGTTGCCTTTGTGCTTGTACTCGCAACCTGAAGGTAAATTCCTTAACTTGGAATGGATGACAATCTTTTCACGTCCTCCTCACTGTAATTTTTTCTCTCTTTCTTTTCACACCAGGTGTTCTCCACATTTTAAAAGCTGGGCATATCTGTGGATGTTGTTGCAACCACCGAAGTTAGCATTTCCTTGACACTGGATCCTTCAAAGTTCTGTAGCAAAGAGTTGATTCAACAGGCAAGCTTATGGCTTTGTAATTTGTATCGTATTTTAATGAGGGAGGCTACTACTTGTTTTTGGCAGACTAATCTTAATTGTGTTTGTAATTCTTGGTGGCAGGAGCTTGATCACATGGTAGAGGAACTTGAGAAGATTGCTATATATTGTAAATCTGCTTCAACACAGACCAATAATCTGTCTCATCGGAAATGTTCTGAGATCATCCCTCATATTAGAGAAGGTTTGTTTGTTAGCTCTCTATTACGGCTCTGGCTGGTCTGTCTGAATTTATGTATTTGGTAAAAGACAGTGATAACCTTTGGGATCGGTACCCGATGAACAACAAGCAAGGCTTCCGAGTTCTTCGAACCAATGGAGATAATGTCCAAATGATCTCACAGGGTCCATCTAGGGTCATATTACTTTTTAACTTCTCTGCGTGTATGTGTTTTAGGGGGTGAAATGCACACTCGGTCTAGACTACTTTTTTTAATATTTAATTAGTGTGTTTTTGGTGTCATCAGGTAAACATCTTGCTGATAGTGAATGATGATGCGGCAGAGCATTGCGTGAAGGCTCTCCCGTCTCCACTCAGCCTTCTTCGAGACAGGTGCGGCTTTTCAACGCTCGTCTACCTACATCGTTGACTCATCATGAAACCTCATTATATGTGCGACATGCGAGGTCTACAAATAGTAATCATTAAGTTACGTACAGTATTATGATATTCTTGTTGGTATTAAGGAAAGAAAACTCTGTTGTACAATATAAATGTAATTTGATGGGAACTCTACTGTAGATTGAATAAGTGTTTTCTCCGAAAGATGATGAGTCAACAACCACAAAGAAGAGACTAAAGTGATGGAATCTCCCCGGACTGTGTGGTGCTTATATATTTTTCAGCGTCAGGTTAGTTTTCTATCTGTTGTCTCTCAGAACTACTAAGGTTGGTAATTAGTTTTTTTTTTTACTATCATGGTGTATCAATGATAATGGTAACAATTATCCAGGTGATCCTGTTCGTGACACTGCTGCCCAACCTCAAAAATCTGTCGGTTCAACCTGAACATCTAAAAGCAATCTGCTTGCCCAACCTTCCCAAGAACAGAAAAACTACAAGCACGAACCGCCTAGCAATGGACAAAAATTGCCTGCTGCTTATTATGATAATCATATTTTATTATGTCCTAGAGGAGGCTCCGTTAAATCGTTTTCCTGGGTTTTTTCATTGGTGGCGGTGTGGTATGTCGAGAAAAAGGCAAAAACATTGGCGGACAAAGAAGGGGATCACTTTGGATACACAAAGGTAATATCTTAAATGAATTACTTCTTAATTTCGTCATAACTTAATTAATATGTAAAAAATTATGATTACTTAATAAGCTTGGGAGCATCAATCTTTCATTTTTACTTCTATCATAATTATAATTAATGTCATCCAGAAATTCAAGATAACAAATAACAAACAGAAATCGGTCCACTAACGACCAAAATAACAGACTACACATTAAGTAAGGCAGTAATCGGTCATCAACAAGTGAGTGTGTAAAAGACCAACATATTATTTTTACAAAAAAAAAACTAAAAATACTAACTAAATACCTTATTTCCTTAAACATAAAAATAAATGTATTTCAATCAACTAAATACTAATCGTTTTAAAAGTGATGATCATATAAGCAGGCAAAAGTTGAAAATAATAAAAAAATAAAACTGAAAAATTATTAATTCATTTTCAACAAATTAAAATGGGATTAAAAACAACAAAAAAATATTAATAGAATTATAAAAAAAAACTAAATAATGTTAAAAATCAAAAAAAAAATGGAATAAATAAATGCAATTATATCAAACACTACTTACTCAAATATCAAAATAAAAAATAATAATTAATTTCATATATAACCATAAAAAAAAAATTATCCGTGTAGCGCGGAAAGTTTGTTGACGGCTGAATTATGGCAAACCTTCAACTCGTGAGGCCACTTCAAGATTACTAAACAAACGTTTATTTTTGTTAAAGATCTTCTAATTAAAAACAAAAATTTTGTTCAAAATGCAAATATAAATTTATACTGAACAACAACAAAAATGAACAAACAAACCAAACCTCTACAACAAACAAACTCCGAACCAAAGTTTGTTTTTTTTCGATCTATTCACACAAAGGAACACAACTTGTTTGGAAATGTTATTAACAAAGAACATGGCTCCCGAAGTGAACCGCTGGTTCCCTGCGACTGTAAATGCTTCCGCCCTGAATCTTCCTCAGTCCACTTCCAGTGGCCTCCTCCTCCGCCCTCCTGATCCTGACCTCCCTGACCCTCTCCATTTCCCTCCTCTCCCCTCTTCTCCCGCCTCTACTGTATCTCCTGCTCCCTGCAGTTGCTTCTTCCCCGTCCCTTGATGCTATTCCTTTCCTTGTCTCAAACCCATCCCTTGTTCCTGTTACCGATTACCCTCAAAACTTGCCCTCTTCAAATGTTGAAACTAGATCTAACCCTAGATCTGAAAAATCAACTGTTCACAATCTCACTGTTCTACCTCCTAAAGGTAGTTCTCCTCTGACTACCAATCGTGCGTCCTCCTCCCTCCCCGTTACCTCCAAATCTGGCCATGTCTCTGATAAAACATCTGCCCCTTTGTTACATCCCTTCTCCCACTCTGATGTCATCACTCCTCCCTCAGTTGCTAACCCTCCTGTCTCCGTTACTGCTCCCCCTTCCTATGCTCTGAAAGCCAGGTTTAATACGGACAGATCCCTATCTCAGTTAGCTCCTACCTCTGTGTCTTCTGAAGGTAAACCCCGTGTGCTTATTCCTGATGCTGTGTTCCATAGAGGAGCCGAGCTGCATAAAGAATATATTGTTGGTTCCTTCCTTGGGAAAATGCCAGACTATGGTCCGATAAAGAGTGTCCTTAACCACATGTGGGGAAAAGGGTCCAAACTGGAAATTCATCTGCAACCTCTGCGTAGGCAAATGCTTGTGAGAGTCCCAAATGATTATATTCGCGGTAAAATTCTGGAAAAAAAGCTTTGGTATGTTGATCCCTCAATGTTCCATGTTGTTCAATGGGGATCTATTACTGCTACGATCATGCCTGAGATTGTCTCCATTCCTCTTTGGGCTCATCTTCGAGGGGTCCCTTTTGATCTGCGAACAAAAGAAGGTTTGAGCTTGGCTGCTGGGTTAGTGGGTGATCCTATTGAAACTGACGACTACACAAAGAATATTTCCAACCTCAATGTTGCTCACGTAAAGGTTGAAGCCAACCTCAAAAAACCCCTCCCTTCGTGTGGTGAACTAATAAGAGAGAATGGAGAAGTTATTGAGATAGAAATTGATTATCCCTGGATTCCTCCTTCCTGTTCACACTGCAATGAAATTGGTCACATTCTCAAGAACTGTATGAGTGCTCCAGCTAAACCCTCTGCGGGAAAGGTTGTTTCCTCTGTGAAGGCCACTGCAGCTGTTCCTCCTGCTGAGGTGGTGCATATGGTTTCTAAGGTTGATATCCCCGCTGTTACTGTTGAATCCTCCTCTCCCACAAAAGTTTTGTCTCCTGTTAAGATTACCCCAATCGGTGGGTCTTCTGTAACTATTGATCCTTCTCCTCCTTCTTCCCAGTTAGCCAATTCTTCTAAACTCTCTTTTACCTTTTCTCCTCCTCTTACCACTCCTTTCTCCCCTCCTCTTGTTTATCCTCCACCAAAAAGCCCTCCCAGATCTCCCTTCCTTAAACTTTCCCATGCTGGTAAAGCTTTCTCCTCTCCAAAAAATTCTCCCGCTTCTTTTTCCACCCCACTCATCTTCTCTTCGTCTCCCATATTATCATCTCAAATTTTCCCAATATCCTTCGGTCCTCAAACCATCTCTAACCCTGTTTCCGACCTGATTTCATCCCTTGCCTCTTATACCCCCATTTTTTCAAACTCTTCACCAGCTTGTTCTTCACACTTAATCCCTCCCGTTACTGAATCCATCTCTCCCAATCATCCAATCCTTCCCGATACTGCAATTGTTTTGCTACCTGTTTCTGATCATGGGGCTCTTCAAGAAGAGTCTCTCAAAACTTCTCTATGAGTGCAAAACTCTTTTTTTGGAATGTCCGAGGTCTCAACGACTCGGTTAAATACCTGCCATTTAGCCAATGGTTAGCTACAAATAAGCCAATTTTTGGTGCTATTTTGGAAACTCACATCAAGGAATCAAACATGAATCTCGTCATAGCTTCTGTGTGCCCTGGATGGAGTTTCACCTCTAATCATCTCTCTGATGATGACGGAAGAATTATAGTGATCTGGAAGCACCCTGCTGCTGTCCGTGTCATTTCTCAGTCACGTCAAACTTTAACTTGCGAAATTATTATCTCATCTACTCTAAGGTTCACCTACACTGCAGTTTATGCCTCCAACCTGAACGATGAAAGAACTGATCTGTGGTTTGAGCTCATCAATTTACAGCAAAATTTGGCTCTACAATCATCTCCTTGGATTGTTGGCGGTGACTTCAATCAAATTATGCATCCTGCTGAGCATTCTCTGTCATCGGTAAACACTGTAACTCCTGTGATGGCAGCATTCCGGGATTGTTTAATCCAATTGGGGATCTTTGACCTGAGATATCAAGGTGTCTTCAATACCTGGACAAACAAGCAACCTATGTCTCCTATTGCCAAAAAGCTTGATCGTTTACTTGTTAACCAGAGCTGGATCGCCTGCTTTCCAAACAGTGCGGCTTTGTTTTTTGCCCCTGAATTCTCTGACCATAGCCCTTGCCTCTTAGACCTTGCTGTCCCTTTACCCCAAACTGGTACTAAACCCTTTAAATTCCTAAATTACCTGACTAAACATCCAAACTTCTTATCCACGGTTGAGGAAGGCTGGATTCAGGCCGGAAGCATCGCTACTAATCTCACGGATCTATGCTGGAAACTAAAGTCTTTAAAAAGAGCGCTTCAAACACTAAATAGAGAGAATTTTTGAGTGATTATTACTAACGGTTTGTTAAAAGATGTGCAGGTGCTTGCTCTTCAATCCCCTACCTCTGCTTTGTTCCTGCAAGAAAGAGATCTCCATGAGAAATGGATCTTTCTGAAATCCATTGAGGAATCCTACTTCAGACAAAAATCAAGGATCAACTGGTTGAAAGAAGGTGACCACAATACCTCTTACTTTCATCGAGCATTGGTGGTCAGAACTGCTCTTAACTCCATCCGCTCCTTCTCGCTTCCTTCCGGAGAACTCGTCTCTGATCCTATTGCAATGGGATCTCATGCCGAAACTCACTTCAAACGTTTACTTGCCCCAGACACTCTACCGCTGTCTCTCTCCACACCTGCTTGGTTCAATAATCTGTCTATCTTCAGAGTTTCGGTGGAGCATCGTGTTGCTCTATCCACTCCTCCTTCCCCTGCTGAGATCTCATCGTCTATCTTTAAGCTCAACCCTAATAAGGCATCCGGTCCGGATGGACTTACTTCAGGATTTTTTAAAGCTACTTGGAACCTTATTGGCCCTGAATTTGTCGCGGCTGTTCAAATGTTCTTCCAAACTGGCTTCATGCCTTCGGCTGCAAATTCAACTATCCTCTCTCTTGTGCCAAAGCACCCTGGTGCCTCTGCTATAAGTGACTACATACCTATTTCGTGTTGCTCCACCATCTACAAGACCATTTCCAAACTTATGGTATCTGAATTGAAGCCTATTCTGCTTGATCTAATTCTTCCCAATCAAACCGCCTTCGTCCAAGGTAGACTTCTAGTGGAAAATACTATTCTGGCTACTGAGATTGTCGACGGTTACCACCGTGAGAAAGGCCCCTCCAGAATCGCAATTAAGGTTGATATAGCTAAGGCTTTTGATACTCTGAATTGGGACTTCCTTTTTTGCTGTCTTGCTAGTTTTCAGGTGCCGCAAATCTATCTTCACTGGCTGAGAGCGTGCATTTGTACTCCAAACTTCACTATCGGTTATAATGGAACAGTTCAGGGTTATTTCAGAGGAAAACGTGGCTTAAGACAAGGGGATCCTCTCTCCCCTTATCTTTTTGTAATCGCCATGAACTGTTTGTCCCTGCTTCTTAACCAAGGTGCGGAAGACGGAAAATTCAAATATCACCATAAATGTGAAGCTTCAAAACTCACTCACCTTTGCTTTGCTGATGATCTTCTGATCTTCACTGATGGCTCCTTGAACTCTGTCCAGAATATTTTGACAATCTTGCATGAGTTCGAACTTCACTCTGGTCTAGCAGTTAGTCTCCAGAAAACGTCCTTCTTCTCCTCTGGATTGTCCGCTAGCGAAATCCAGCACATCAGTATTGTTACGGGTCTTACTGCTGGTTCTCTGCCAATCAGATATTTGGGAGTTCCTTTGTGTACAAGAAAGTTGACTATCTCTAATTGTGGCCCTCTCCTGGATCAAATCAACAGAAAAATAAACTCTTGGAGTGCCAAATCGCTCTCTTTTGCTGGCCGACTACTACTAGTGAACACTGTCATTGCAGGCATCACAAACTTTTGGGCTGCCACTTTTGTCCTTCCAAAGTCTTGTATCAAAAAAATCAACTCCTTATGTAGTGCTTACCTCTGGAATGGTACTACCGACGGTCACCACTCTGCTAGAGTTTCATGGGAATATTTAACTCTGTCAAAGGATGAAGGTGGTCTTGGTTGTCGAGACCTGTTTTCCTGGAATAAAGCTTGTATCCTAAAGCTGGTTTGGCTTCTCTTCTGCAACTCCGGTTCAATTTGGGTTGCATGGTTCAAGAAAGAGGTTTTGAATGGTTCTCTTAGCAACTTTTGGATCCTGAAACAAAAAAACAAGCACTCGTGGTTAGCAAACAAGCTTCTGAAGATTAGAGATACTGCTTACAATTGGATAAAATTGCGAGTGGGGAATGGAAAGGATGTTCGATTCTGGACGGATAATTGGTCTCCGTTTGGGAAGCTCCAAGACTTCTTAAATCCGGGAATTACTACTAGAATGGGTATTGCCATGAATTCTCATCTCAGCCAACTATTCTCCAATGGAAGATGGGCCATCAGTACTGCTCGGTCTGAAAAACAGGTTCTCCTTCAATCTCATCTCTCCTCTCTATTGCTGAATGACTCTGACGATTATTATGAATGGGTGGTAGAAGATAGGTATGGTCTAAATTTAATACTGGTACAATCTATAAATTGTTGAAAGCGCATGTACCTAATGTTCCTTGGAAGGCTGTTGTTTGGAATGTTGGTGGTATTCCGAAGCACAGCTTCCTCTGCTGGCTATTTGTTCTCAATCGATGCCCAACAAAAGACAGAATTATCGGATGGGGCTTATCTGTGGATCCTCAATGCTTACTGTGTAATCAATTCCCAGAAAGTAGAGATCATTTACTGTTTGATTGCTTTTTTGCTTGGTCGATCTGGGAAAGAGTAAGCCACCGTTGCTGTGTAGCTCCTTCTCGCTCATGGGCTGCCTCATTGTCTAATATGCAAGTCCTCCAGGGGTCAAAACATAAAAAGAAACTGACATATATTGCCTGGCAATGTGTAATATACTCGATCTGGATGGAGAGAAACTCACGGCTCCACCGTCACCAATTCTGTTCAACCTCTTCTCTTCTCCTTTCTATCGATGTCACTATTAGAAATCGAATATCGAGCCTGCGTGAATCTTGTCCTACTCAAGCTTCCCAGATGATGCAAACATGGCTGGCTTCTACATCCCACTGATCGTCTCACCTGCATTGTTCGATCGTTTCATCTACTTCCCTTGTTTCTATCGTTGGTTTTTACTAAAGGGCTTAGATTAAGGTTTGATTCTCTATTGATGTGTTTTTAAATTGGGCTTGGCCCTTCAAAACTAAGGCCTTGGCTAGGCTTGTATTATTTCTTTCTCTTGCTTTATATTGAAAAATCTTGTTCAAAAAAAAAACTTGTTTGGAACTATAACATATCACTGCCAAGATTATTTTTAACATCTTCACCAATAGAAAACTTTTTAGAGCAAGTTCTCCAAAGCCATAGTTTTCCTTCTTTGCATGCTTCTTAATAATGAAGATTAGGATTATAGACCATGTAATTCGAGCATTTGAATCTATAATTTGGAGAGCAATTTTTAATATATATTTATTATTTTTAGAAGATTTTCTGTTTTGCGAAAAAGAATAAGATTTTTTTTTTTCAAAAATAAAAAGAGATTGAGTGAAATTAATGATATTGGGAGAATAGAATAGATATTTTTTTTGTTAGGTCAAAAGGAAGAGTTATAATCAAAAGAGATTGTGTTATTGTGCTGAGACTATACAATGTTAATAATAAAATTGGTTTGATTCCAATTAGTTAAGTTAATTACGGTCCATTTGACAACAAAAAATTAAGGAAGAAATTGTAAAAAAAATATTCAAATTTCAAATTTTGGCCAAACAAAGCACTAATTTTCTTATGAACCAAAAAATATCCAACTTTTTTTTATATTAAATCTTGTAACCTTTAATTTCTTATTGATAAATTGTTTTAGTCCCAATCAACTGTTATAATTTGACTTGACATTTAAGATTTTCTTAACTATTTTCCCAAAATTCAACTATTTTAAACGATTTTATATTGAAAACTTAAACTAATGGGCTTACTCTTTTTTATTGAATTGTATCTATTACGGCCCATTATGTGATTGAGTGACCGATAAAGATTCTGAAAAACCTTCACGTGTCTTCACACCTAACTGTATGTAATTCGAGGCTATCACTATGTGAATATGTTCTTAGCGTTTTCTGTTGTATGATCAAAATCCTGAATTCCTAAAGAACCAGATCTTTCTGCTCCGTAAAACAATCTTCCATGGCTTCTCCTCTGTAAGATTTTGTTTTGTTACCTCTCGTTGGTTAATTCTGCTCGCTATTACTGAATTTGGTCGATTTTGGAATTTTGGGAAATTCACTATTTTTTGTTTACAGAGTTGTAGAATCTCTTCCAGCGTCGCTCGATGCTACAGCCGATCCACCTACTCTGTTCGATGGAACCACAAGGTTAAATCTTCATTTCCTTCTTTATGTTTTACTCAAAATTTCTTTAATCACTCTGTTCTTGAAATCACTTTTTTCTTCAATAGTTTATTGGAGCTTACCACTTATTGGATTTTTTTTTTCTTTTTCCTTTATTCTTAATCAACGACCAAAGATTGTACACAAGCTACGTTTGCCCATTTGCTCAACGAGTTTGGATCACCAGAAATTTCAAGGTTTAACAGCTTCTTCTTTGTATATTTGGATTTGGGTCTCATGTAGAAATTAATTAACTTCACCATTCTTTAGTCTAGACCAAGAAAACTATGCACTAGCATCACGAATTTTACCTTTTTTCCTGTATTTAGTGTATTTATAAATATAGTTAGAATTAAAACAAGATCTTGTTGGTTTTTACGGATTGTAGGGTTTGCAAGAAAAGATCAAACTTGTTCCTTTGGATCTTGGGAACAGGCCTGCTTGGTACAAGGAGAAAGTGTACCCAGAGAACAAGGTCAACAATTTTTCTTCTCAAATCGGTTATAATCTATACTACTTTCATTGTGTTAATAGTGGAATGTTCTTATTATTATTTTTTTTTTCTTGCAGGTTCCAGCCCTTGAGCACAATGGAAAAATCATAGGGGAGAGTCTTGATTTGATCAAATATCTCGATACCAATTTCGAAGGGCCTTCTCTTTACCCCGAGGTAACATCATTAGAACTTTAGGATTGTTTTTCCTTTCTGAACTCATCTGATTCTAAGTCATTGTCCCTCGTGTTAAACTTTAGGATCATGCAAAAAGAGAGTTTGGCGAAGAGTTGTTAAAATACACTGATACATTCATTAAAACTATGTATGTGTCACTCAAAGGAGACCCTTTTCAAGAAACCGGTGAGACTCTTAAACTGTTCAAAGATTCGACCTTTCGAAGGTGAAAGCAAGAAAAGATATGACCCGGAAATTTCATGTTCTTGATGCAGCACCTGTGTTAGATTATCTTGAAAACGCTCTGCATATGTTCGATGATGGGCCATTCTTCCTCGGCCAGTTTAGCTTGGTAAAGCAAATTTCGAGATCCTTTTTGATTTTCTTCTCTTGTGTCTTGAATGGATTATTTGAATTCTTTGTTTGCTTTTTCAGGTTGATATCGCCTACGTACCGTTCATTGAAAGGTTTCAAATCGTACTCAATGAACTGTTTAAGTGTGACATTACTGCAGAACGTCCCAAACTATCAGCTTGGATTGAGGTATATATCTAAGCAACCTTCCGTGAAGTCAGAAAAAATAACACTTCAGGGATTGGTGCTGAAGTGATTGATGTAAATTTTGCAGGAAATAAACAAGATTAATGCCTACGCACAAACGAAGATCGATCCTAAGGAAATTGTTGATATTTTCAAGAAAAAATTCATGGTAAGTCTTATTTTTAGGTTCTGCTTTGTTTAATGAAATTACCACATGAGTTGCTTCATCTTTTCTTGGGGGTTAGGAGCTATGCCTCTAGTATATGGTTGTCTATGTGTGAATGTTGGTTGCTTTGGGTCAATTTCGGTTTTGGGATTGATAACCGAGTCGATATAGCTTCCGGTTTGCCAAACCAAACTTTCTCCAATGGATGTTTTGCATCTTAAAATCGTTGTGAATGCAAACGCCCTGCACTAATCACCAGCCATTACTTTTGACTAAATATTTCCGGTTCATGCCAAATCTGAATCTTGTTCCTGTTTATGCCAAATCTGAATCTTGTTCCGGTTTTATTCTTGCAGTAAGGAAGCGCTAAGCAGTATAGTGAGTTAGGGACCATGGATATGAAGTAAGAATCACGTGGTGCAATGAGATATGTATCTTACACGCAACAACAGCTTAAATCTGTATTTTACTTTTAATCAACAATAAATGTTTAATATTCTCCGATGACATTATTATCTATTAAACACAGATACGTAGTGTTGAAACTATAGTATAATTTCGGAATGAAAACAGAGACATTCTTCAATATCATATATGTACTTCTATTGTCAAATTTCTAAGCAAGTGCCACATTACATTACATGTGAATACATCACCTGTAAACAACATTATAAACCAAACCTCTACATGGATCTTTCTCTTCTTATGCGTATTTACGAACAGCTCTTTAGCAATACTTTCATAGTCGGTCGTCTGCAAATTATTCAACAATAATGCATATAGCTCATTTGAGTCTTTTTATTTACAGTCAGAAGAGTTTACTTGTAGAATGCTCTCCATTCATCGAAGTCTTTCGTCTTATCACATCTCAATTCAGGTAAGCATCTTCTCTCAACAATCTCTAGAATCCTTTATTGGATCGCTACAAGGTTTCTGTATTCTGCTTCGGTCACTCTCTGAACTCGCCTCATCATGTTATTGGAGTTTATGACTATTAGTAGTAGGCAATCGTCAAAGGTGTATTTTTATACCCACCGGATAGATTATCATCATCATCCTTTCATTATTGAGTTTTTCTTCAAAAGGAAAAAGCTCTTAGATTTTGTGTTCTTGAGGAACAAAAGAAAAAACAGAGAAACAAACAAAAAAGTCATTTTTTTATCATAGGAATTCTTGATTAAGAGCTAACTGATGATAATTCATGTAATCAATCCCGTTTAACCGGACGCAACACAGAATCTGCTCAGGTAATTCCTCCGACTTATTCCCCTGAAAATCAGATTTTACACTTTACAGTTAAATAACCAATAGAAAATGCCAGAAATTCCCTCTTAAGAAGCAAAAAATTGCAGCACAGTACCTGAATTGTAAGTCCAACATCAAGAACACAATGCTTGAGTCTGTCTAAAAATGCTTCGAATCCTTTCCGCGATATATAACTGAATCTATGCATATCAATATCAATCTCAAAGTAATTTTCACCCTACAAGATCAAATTTTTCAGAGTTAGTCATTTCATTGCAGGTTTTCATTAGGATTTGCATTTTGTTATGATAACTTGTAACATACCGAATAAAACTCATGTTGTGGACGCGAAAGCACAGGTTTTTCGTTATAAGCATTCATGAGTTTTTTCTCTGCACCATTCAACTGAAGATCGTCTACATTCGCTACACGTCCCAATATCTTTAAACGTTCTCTAAATGGCACACTTGCATCCATAGCAAAGCCTCTGACTTTCTCAACTTCATCATCTATCAATCTCTGCAAGAAAATTCCAAAGATAAGAGGTTAATTCAACAAGAGAGGACAGAGCAAAACATGAGGTGGAAGATTCAAGAACCTGAATGCTTTCTTGAAATGAGGTGGAAGCTCCTTTAAATAATTATCAGAAAGTTTAAAGTATAATACAAAATTCATTCCTTCTCCATCAGTTTCACCTTGAAAGATTGCAGCAGGATACAATGGTATCTGAAAATCACAATACCAACACCAGAATTAAAACCATAATGTAGAAGAAGAACGGTTTAACTACGGAAGTAGACAATATTACCTGAACATTTACAACGAGTATAGATGGGAGCTTAGACGAGGTGGTAGTAATAACAGGAAGCTCCACGTACTGTGCTATATGGTTTACTTTACGTTGTGATAAAAATACATCAACACCAAATGGATTATATGCAGCATAGTTTGGTGCAAACTCTTTCTTCTTTTCTCTACCACCACAAAGCAAAATATCAGTTTTGAGTCCGTAACAAAACATATTGAAACACAAGCTCTCTCTCCCCTTATGTTTACCTGAAATAAGTTTTGCCACGAACACGGAAACTACTTGGCTCTATGATTGACCAACAATCGAACATTTTCTTCTCGAGCGGACAAAATGGAACCTGAGTACCCGCAATCGGTCTTTGCAACTGCATTTTGGTTGAAACTGTAAACATTGTAAAGAACAAAGTGAGTTCTTCTTGGTTTGATATCCAGTCAAGATCAAATACAAATGCAAACCACAATTGAAACATTGTAGATAACAAAGTGAGTTCTTCTTGGTTTGAAATCTATTCAAGACCAAATGCAAATGCAACAACAATTGAAACATTGTAGACAACAAACTGAGTTCTTCTTGGTTTGAAATTTATTCAAGATCAAAATGCAAATGCAACCACAACTGATATACTTACATAAAGGACCAGTAGCATGTCCTTCTCTCCACTTGAAAGATAGTTTAAGAGCAGCTTTTTTCCTTGTACCAGGAGGGCTAGAGCTTAAGGACCTTCTCTTTTCATAGAAGGAACGGTCGAATTAAGACAAGGCAAACAATTGCTCGGAAGAATCCCACAGCTTTCCAACAATCCTTCATCTTTTCTAGAGCTATCATCAGCACTCGAAGATATCTCGTCGATGAAAACAGGCTGCTTAGTGTCAACCACCAAGGCACCGTCTGATTTTGACTGTGACATAGCGTCATCTATCGTTGAGGCATGAGAGTTTGAAGTTTTAGGACCATCGCTTAGAGAGTTTCGAGCGGAGCCACCAAGGGTAGAGTCTCTAACAGATGACATACTCGATACTGAGATACGCTCAGCTCCGTTTACTGACAAGACATCTGAAAAAACAAAACCCGTAAACGATGAAAAACAGAGTGATGTAATGATCCAAGGACAAATCAAAGGGATTTCAAGAAAAAGTTTCTACCTTCGACACTGTGGAAATCATCATCACAATCGGTTTCAAAGGCGAGGTTGGAATCAAACCATGCTTCATCAGCGCTTGCTGTCAGATTAAAACACAGAGACCGGATCAGCTAAGTGACACAAGTCTGAGAGTTTATAGAAACACAATGCTCATCAAAGACTAACCATTTAGAGAAAAGATTCACTCTTTGATCAAATTTTCCAACAAAGATCACAAATTGTTAGCTAATCGAACCCCCACTTAATCAGAATCTAATTTCTATTATTCAAACAACACATTCGAGAATCAGAAAGACCTAACACTTCGAATTTGGAACGATTAAAAGCTAAAAAAATGAACCTTTGAGATATGCAAGAGAGAGTCATAGCACATAAAGCCAAAACGATCATAAAACGTAAATGCAGAGCGAAAAAAGAAAAATAGAAAGAGAACCCAGAAGAGAGATTAGAGTCTAGAGACCTCGGAAAGTGGGATTGGAGAAAGAGCGATCGTGATTTTCGAAAGATCCGTCAGATAAGCAAGAAGAAGACACAACTCTCTTCTTCTGAATCTTTCGTCTTGTCCGAGTCTTTCTCCTCTTGTTTGACCTTATTTTCCCTCCCACGCAGCTCTTAGGCGTTGACACGCAACCTCCCATCTCTTTCTCTACCTCTCTGTCTCTCTTTCTCTCTCCTCTGATCACAAAATCAGCACGTAAGATCCCCAAATACTCTCAAGCGTGTAAAACCCAGAACTTTTAGAGAGAGAGAGAAAATCTCTCTCCTCTCTTTCTCTCTCTGATCAGAAATCAGATAGAATCTGCCAGACACGATCCTCACATCCACAAATTAGAAAAACCCAGAAAGATTTAGAGAGAAATGTGGTTTCTTTTTCACGAGGTGAGAGAGAATAGAATGAGACACGGACAACTAGACAAACAATTTGGTGAAGATGAAGAAGAAGAGCTTTTTTTTTCTTTACTTAATCAGTAATTAAGAGAAGAAGAAAAAAAAAATGGTAAAATCTTTTCTTATTTATTGGGTTTAGGAAGTCAATGAAATTGGGAAAATTATGAAAATGACAAGTTGTTAATAGTTATCGCATATCCGGTGAGTTAACGGCATCTTCTAAAGCAATTATGGTCACTTATTTAGATTTGCGATTGAAGCAACACAAATGGACTTTCTTATTTATTGTTTTGTGATAATCTGTAATTACTAATTCGTAAATTACAAATTACAACGTTTATTTTGGGATTTTTCTTAATTATATAACATCTTCTGATGGACAATGAAAAGAAATATAGATTATGATGGTAAACGCGGTTATGGCAAATGGTTGAAAGACTAATCAGTATTAGAATCGAATTCGAATACGTTTGTTATATTCGAAAATAGAATTCAGTTCTCAGAAAGAAGAATCACTAATTATAATTTGTTGGTTTAGTCGCATTAGGATTTCGGGTTAGCTTAATTAATATGCAAAGTCTACTTTACTTGGTACAAGTTAATTGTAGGCACACGAATGTAAGCAGTTTTTCTTTATTGAGAAAACAGGTAGAAGATTACTACGTGAAAGAGTTTGATGGCTTGTCCGCTACTATAAAACGTCGGATTCAATTTGGTTATTTAGGAGAGATAATGGCATTAGTATTAATACTAAAAGAAAGAATTGCTTTGCTATCTTAATTGTGATTCTTGTTCTGCACCACACCGTTGACATCTTTGGTCTGAGCTTGGTTTTGAGTTTTCGCTCTGCTGACATGGCAAGGCGATTTGAAAGGTGAATTAGGGTTTTCATTACTTCTCGTCCAGGCAAGGGTTACGGTGGCTAGCCGCCGACCGCCCGGCATGGATTTGACGGCGGGAGATGATGCTCCTCCGCTGACCCAACCGGTCGCTCAAGTTGATACATCCAAGCGCGTTTCGTACTCCTCCATCGTTCAAAGCAAATCAACTCTAACAAAGCATGATATCGAGATCAAAGAGGTCGACGGGAACTCTTTAGTTGAGATACCAGATTCTATTATCGAAAATTCATCTCCTTTGTGGGAGGATTTACTCCTCGGAAAGTTTTTGGCAGCGGCTCCCCACGTAGCAAAAATCCATGTTATAGTTAACAAAATTTGGACTCATGGTGATAAGTCTATTAAGATCGATGTGTTCCCGGTGAATGAAACAATGGTGAAATTCAGAATAAGGGATGGATCAGTCAGAACTCGTGTCCTTGGACGCAGCATGTGGAATATTGCAGAAATTCCGATGGTTCTTTCAAAGTGGTCACCGGTGGAAGAGGAAATTCAGCCTGCTTTGACATCGATTCCGATTTGGGTAACTCTCAAAAATGTGCCGCCAAAAATGTTTTCCTGGGATGGGATCTCTTTCTTGGCTAGTCCAGTGGGCGAACCAAAGAAACTCCACCCGGAAACAGAGATCTGCAAAAGTTTTGAGGAGGCCAAAGTTTTTGTCATTGCTGATCTGTCTAAGGAACTTCCAAAGTCATATCGTTTCAAATCCAACCTTGGTGTTGATGATGTCGTTGAATATGTTTACCCCTGGCTCCCCCCTAAGTGCACTCTTTGTTCTAAGTGGGGACATAGTAAGGAGGATTGTCAGCAAAAGAGCCCACCAATTAAAACGATATTGCAAAGGGATGTTACAGAGATAGTAGCGGTGCCTCCCTCTGTAACCAGGCAAACCGGATCTCAAAATTTCAGCACTGAAACAAAAACTCAAAGCTCAGGCACTCTCCCTTCACAAAGGATAGAACAGAACGCTGCACATCCTAAGCAAGTAGAGGAGAGCAGTTCAAAGAATGACGGGATGACAGAACAGGCAAAGGATGATGTCGCCTGGACAAAAGTCTCGCTGGCAAAGAGTGGAAAGTTGAAAGGCCAATCCCAGGATCACAATTCAGACATAACGTCTCCGTCACGGTTCTTAATTTTGTCGAATGAAGAAGAGACAACAGAAATTGAGAAACCGGAGGAGGTATCTGATACTAAGGAAGATGGGGAAATTCAAGAGACACAATCAGTGGTACAAGAGAAACCAGAAGGGCAGCTAAGACAGACTCTTCCAAGGGCCTCCAAATCCTCACATCGATATATTTCAGAGCCTGTAGCTCAACACACGACGAACTCTGTTCTTAGTGTGGTGAGTAAAAAAGGCCGAAACAAACACCAATAATCCATGTCAGGATTCTTCTGGAATGTACGCGGCTTTAACAAATCAAATAAGCATTCCATTGTGAAGAAGTAGGTGGAGGAAAATCAGTGTCAATTTGGGTGTGTTTTGGAAACAAGAGTTAAGGAAAGCAATTCAGAAGGGATTTTAAATACAGTTTTTCATCAGTGGTCAGCCTTGACAAACTATGAGTTTCATAGGCTGGGTCGTATATGGGTGGTGTGGAATGAATCTGTGCGTCTCACGCCTGTTTTCAAGAGTGGGCAACTTGTTACCTGTTCAGTCAAGACAAAGGAGACAGAGGAGGAGTTTTACTGTTCTTTTGTTTATGCATCAAACTTTGAGGAGGAGAGAAAAGAATTGTGGAGTGATTTAAAGAACCATTATGATTCCCCTAGGTTCAGAGATCGGTGCTGGTTGGTGCTTGGAGACTTTAATGAAATTCTTGAGGGAGAGGAGAATTCAAGATATAGTACAAACCCGATCATCTCTTCTGGAACAAGAGACTTTCAGGATCTTGCAAGATATTGCTCAATCACAGATCTGAATTTCCAAGGACCGCTGTTCACATGGTGTAATAAGCGTGAGGAGGGACTGATCTGTAAGAAACTTGATAGAGTTCTTATGAATGAGCACTGGATGCAATCGTACCCTCGCTCTTACTGCGTTTTTGAGCCAGGCGGCTGTTCTGACCATCTTCGCTGCAGAATCATGTTCGATGCTGAGAAACCTAAAGCAAAGAAGCCGTTCAAATTCATAAACGCATTAGCTACCTTGCCAGGGTTTCACGATAGGATCGAGAGCTACTGGTCTGGCACTAGTGTTTTGTTTCATTCCACATCAGCTCTCTTCCGATTTTCGAAAAAACTCAAAGCGCTTAAGCCAATGCTTAGAGATTTCAGAAGGGAGCAGATGGGGAATCTCTCAAAAAAAGCAAAGGAGGCTTTCGCGGTTCTTTGCGAGAAACAGCAAGCAAATATGCTAAATCCTACAGCAGAGAACGTCTTAGAGGAATCAACGGCTTTCACAAGATGGTCACATGTGTCAAACTTGGAGGAGAGGTTTCTTAAACAAAGGTCAAAACTGCATTGGTTGCAGGTAGGAGATGGAAACAATAAGACTTTCCACAAAGCTGTAAAGCTGAGAGAAGTGAGGAACTCCATCAGGGAGATCAAGGATCCAAATGGGGTTATGCTGAGGACAGGAGACGAGATCAAAGCTGAGGCAGAGCGATTCTTTAGCGTGTTCCTTTCGGCCACTCCAGCTGATTACATCAGCCCATCAGTCGAAAATCTTGAACAGTTTCTGCAATACAAGTGTTCCGACTCAGATAAATCTTGTCTCATTCGAGAGGTTAGTGCAGAGGAGGTTAAGGGTGTTTTGTTTGCAATGCCCAATGATAAGTCGCCTGGCCCAGACGGCTTTACCAGCGAGTTCTTTAAGCAAACCTGGCCGACGGTTGGTCATGATTTTACAGTGGCGGTCCAGTCTTTTTTTCTGAAGGGTTTCCTTCCCAAAGGGATCAACTCCACTATCCTAGCGTTGATTCCCAAGAAAGAAGCAGCTCAGGAGATGAAAGACTACAGACCAATCTCATGTTGCAATGTAGTCTACAAAGTCATTTCCAAGATCATAGCAAACCGTCTTAAGCAGATTCTTCCAGATTTTATTTCCCCAAACCAGTCTGCATTCGTAAAGGATAGATTACTAATAGAAAATGTTCTATTAGCTTCAGAGTTGGTGAAAGACTATCACAAGCCATCGATATCGCAGAGATGCGCTATGCAAATTGATATATCTAAAGCTTTCGACTCGGTGCAGTGGGATTTCTTGAGGAATACTCTTATCGCGCTGGGGCTTCCAGAACAGTTTATTCATTGGACGATGCTGTGTGTGTCTACTGCATCATTCTCAGTTCAGGTCAATGGTGAATTGGCGGGGTTTTTCCGAAGTCAGCGTGGTCTGAGGCAGGGCTGTTCTTTGTCGTCATACCTGTTCGTGATCTGTATGCATGTGTTATCTAAGATGCTTGATGAGGCTGCAAAAGCAAAGAAATTCGGCTTTCATCCGAAGTGTAAGATTCTTAATCTAACACATCTTTGCTTTGCAGATGATATTATGGTATTCTCGGATGGGAAGAAGCGCTCTATGGAAGGGATCATCAAAGTTTTTGATGAATTTGCAGTGGCTTCGGGTCTCAAAATCAGCTTGGAAAAGTCGACTTTATACCTCGCTGGAGTTGATGTGAACCAACGCCAAGAATTAGAGAATGCATTCCCATTTGGCTCAGGATCTCTGCCTGTTCGCTATTTGGGGCTTCCCCTGCTTACAAAGCGGATGTCGAAAGCTGATTATTCGCCCCTTATTGAGAAGATCCGTACTAAGATCAGTGGCTGGACAGCTAGAGCACTTTCATATGCAGGTCGTCTGCAACTTATCAAATCAGTCCTTGCAATCTTATCAAATTTTTGGATCTCGGCATTCAGGCTGCCTCGATGCTGTATTGATGAAATAGATAGCCTCTGCTCTGCATTTTTATGGCCAGGCCCTACTCTGAATACTAGAAAATCTAAGCTGGCTTGGGATCGTGTCTGTCGTCCTTTGGAGGAGGGAGGTTTGGGTCTGAGACCTCTGAGAGAGGCGAACAAAGTCTGTTGTTTAAAACTGATTTGGAGAATCCTCTCAGCTCGTGGTTCGTTGTGGGTTATCTGGATCAACATGAATCTTATCCGGAAAGGTTCCTTTTGGTCGCTGCAGGAGAATTCT